TAAGGTGATAGAGCATTCTGTTGTTATGCACCTAGGGTCTGGAAGTCCTACAGGCAATGTTTCAAAAAAACCATTCATAACACAATTAACATCTGGGAATATCATTATGGTTTTTTTTATATATATCGCAATGTTTGTTATCATTTTGGGCTACAATGTGTTTTGTCTCTGTGATTATTTCCTACAGTACTTCTATTTCTACTTCTTCTTCTTAAAAGGCATAGGGAACACTTCACCTATCCTATATACAGTAACTCACCACAGGACTACGGATATTTTCAATTCTACTGGATGCCGCAAGAGGAAATCTATGACTGTTTTCTTCAATTGAGACATCCTGCAGCTCCAGCATTGTAGATGCTCTGATATTTAGAGGGGAGACCATACAAAGCCCCAACACCTCGATAGGCTATGAAAGATAAATCTTTACTCCAAATAATTTACAATGGCACGGCTATAGATATTAGCAACTGTTTACAATGAGGTACAGCCGTGGCTGTAAATGATTTTGTGTGAAAATGGGAGGACTGGAAAGCAGCTATTGATCTAGTTTTCTTCTTATTTTCTTCCATTTAGCTACTGGGGAATGTGCTTTGCTTACAAATGAACTGCAGAGCCAGAGCTCTTATAATTTCTGCTCCCTCACTCACTCTATCAGAGCACGCTGGCATCCAATCATTTGGTTTCTGTATATACATGTAATGCATACATACACGCAGAGAGACCCCCAGGCCACTGCACTCGTCTGCCTTAGCTGTAAATTACATACTGGAATGGAAACAGTTGCCTCTGTGTATTAAGCAGTGAAAGCACAAACTGAAAGAGTCTGCTGAGTGTAGTTTCCCCTCCATGACTCAACGAGCGCTGACCTGGCCTCCTGCACATACAGTAGCAGCTTCTTTTGCCAGCTCTCAAATTCTAACATTGCACCTCCCATCGTTAACATTCATTTATTGTAGCAGCATGGATTGTGCTCGACTTCCACTGGTTTCACGACAACCTTTTTATTGCAGATCTTTTCATTTCTTCTCAAACTGCATGCTCAGACCAGAGCTGCAAGGTTGATAAATTTTCTTGGATGAAGCCATTATTACAGGCTTGGACTGCATGGATAAATATGGCATATTATAGATGTCCTGTATTTCTACAGTCATAATGCAGCTCATGATTTAAAAAAAACATAAGACAACTATAGTTGGTTGTTCTTACATAAACCACCAGCAATAGTGGATGCATCAACAACTACAATATGTCTTTAACTGTCAATTTCAAAACATCTATTAAGCACTTGGCTAAACA